AATTTCTCAGTTTTTCAAATAATCATTTCAGAAGATGTTAAGAATAGATTTTATGTCAGTCGTCAGTTTAAAAAATATCTTATGAAAGTATATCTTCAGTATATTTTTGTCCGGGGTGATAACCCAGTAGTTCAAATAACCTTATCAAAGTAAACTTTCAGAATAGAATTTCTCAGTGCTGAATATTTCTGTTATAACACTGGCTCATATATGTATATACGTATGAGAAGTTCATTTATCGGTATCAAATACAAAACTATTATAGCATTACTCATGATGGTCTTGTTGTGCTCTTATCTAAAATGATGTCATAAGTAAAGAGACTGTCAGTCCTGAATATTTCTGTTATAACAATGACTCATGTATGTATATATAAGGCGGTCATGTATCAGTGTAAAAATACAACTATTATAATATTACTCATGATAGTTGTTCTCTGTATTAAATGCTTATCAAAGATGGAGTCATCAGTAAAGAGCTCTTTTCACACAATGACAGATCAAGTACAGGAAAGACCCCTCATTTATAGACCTGTATGTGGATGATCCTTGGTTGTCTTATGGTACCCTTCTGTGTTTGCCCAGTAAATGGCAGTTAGCATGCTGTGCTGCGGTTTACAGCAAGGCTTTGATATATCTGTCAGCATCTATGATTTAGAAGTTGTGAACATGCTTCGTAATTCTGAGTTTGATCCCAGATGTGGGCAGTTTGACAGAAGCCTTGCTTGACAGTGGTACCGAGAGCTGACCATTGAGGCATAAAATTGCTGGGTCAAATCACAACCAGCCAAAGTATGATGCGGTAGATTCTGCAACATCCTTAAAGGAAACAAAACTGTTCCCCCCCCCCCCCCCTATGTATCTACACCTTTCAGCCTGGGACCCTGTATTTCAGCAATCCCCTAATTAGAAGCCTTGACAACAAAACTGTGAGGAGACACAGGGTCTGTTCTTGTTCTCTCTTCCCCCCCCCCCCCCCCCCCCCATCAACGGGGCCATGGAACCTATTAGGGAGTCTGGGTGACAGTACTAGTTTGAGGCTGGGCAACAGTACCAGTTTGAGGCTGGGTGACAGTACCAGTTTGAGGCTGGGTGACAGTACCAGTTTGAGGCTGGGTGGCAGTACCAGTTTGAGGCTGGGTGGCAGTACCAGTTTGAGGCTGGGTGGCAGTACCAGTTTGAGGCTGGGTGGCAGTACCAGTTTGAGGCTGGGTGGCAGTACCAGTTTGAGGCTGGGTGGCAGTACCAGTTTGAGGCTGGGTGACAGTACCAGTTTGAGGCTGGGTGGCAGTACCAGTTTGAGGCTGGGTGAGGGTACCAGTTTGAGGCTGTGTAAGAGTACCAGTTTGAGTCTGGGTAAGAGTAACAATCTGAGGCTAGGCGAGAGTCAGGTAGTACATACTTTTCTTGTTAAGCCCAGTGAATTATTTCATTGAATGCTTCACTCTATTCTAGCTCACTAATAAACCCTTGCATTTATTTTTAGAACACATTTAATTATGCAGGTTTCCTTCGAAGTCGGAGTGCATCTGCCTGAGAGGCAAGGAACCAACAGTCTGCATACAGATCTGTCAAACGGATGCACACGCAACCCTCAGGTTCTAGAACAGGACTGTAGTCCAGAAGTGGACGAACAACCAGAACTTTCCGCCGGAGTTTACAGCCGGTGAACGCGAAGAAGAAGAAGAACTATGCAGGTTAAAAAAAAAAAAAAAAAAACTTTAGCAATTTACTTGTGAACCATGTAAAACGCTTTTTTTATTTTAAAAAATGTCTTCAGGGAATTCTCACAAGTTTTTGACCCAATTTTCATTTAACATTCATGGGGGCTAAAGGGTTAACCTGAAGAGACAGTTGTAGAAGGATTATTTCCAATGCAGTACAGCTCTCATTAAAATTGGTTGTCAGTTTTTTTTTTTTGGGGGGGGGGGAATTTTTAGAAAAGAAACTGGTTGAAGACCCACCAAAGACAAGGAATGGCAGTTCAATGCATTTGACAATAAATCATCATCATGTGCCCTGCCAACTGGCGTAGGTGTTCATGCGTCTCCGCTTGGAACAGCTCTCTTGATGATATCCCTCCATGCCATCGTTTCAGCCCATTCAGCATCATCCCTCTTGGTCTGCCTCTACCCCTTTTCCCACTGATCTTTTCAGTTCTCACGATTTTCTCCAGTGCCTCTCTTCTCATTATGTGGCCAAAGAACAGTGTTTGTCTCTTTTTTATTGTTGTATATAGAGATCTACTTTCATTAGCTTCTTTCAAACAATCGTTGTTAGTTACTCTGGCCGTCCAAGGTATTCGTTCGTAACATTCGTCTCATAAACCACATCTCTGTTGCTTCCAAAGTCTTCCTAATTTGTTCACTGACATTCCAAGATTCGCTGCCATACAGCAAAACAGGCTCTATGTAACATTTTAGCACCCTCTTTCTGACAATATCCTTGTCTTACTTCTATCTTTATGCTCTGAAATGTGTGTTCCCAACCGGTTATTAATTCTTATAGGTGCTGTTTGCTGCCAATACATGTTCTTTATAATTCGTAGATCGTTTCAATCACTGTTTAACTTTTCCAGCAGTTTGATTATTTCTTCATGTTTCGCACTGCTTGTGTACAGTCACAGAAGCATAAGATAGAGTTTTTTTTCCCCTTCTATAGCTCCTTCGAAAAGAGTCCTGAGGATGTATATGGCATTGCGTGTACCTTTGTACCCCTTTCTTCCCAAAATTTGCATTGTTCTTCACTAATTTCTGGTTTAATCTTGTTTTTTTAATTCTTCTCATAATTATTCTCAGTAACATTTCTGTCACATGACTCATAAGACTTACGGTACAAGAGTCTTTAAATTTTAAATTGCTGGTTTCGTTGGCATATAATAAACAATTTATCACCACCAGATACACATAACAAGTTATCACCGGATACACATAAGTTGTCATCACTGTATACACATAACAATTTATCATCACCAGATACACATAACAAGTTATCATCACTGGATACACATTACAATCTGTCATCATAATTAAAAATAAAAGCTGGGTTATATACACGCCCACTCCACACATTGCAAACTATAAAGCATGTTTCTGGAAAGTCAAACTATACTCATTTATAACTTGATATTTTCAAAACAATAAGTGACCCCAGTAGTTATAAATAAACCCATTTATGGCACTATATTACAAAATTACATTATACTTTTCACATCAGTCGAATGTTTCCCTAATGTTTAGGTAAAAATGACCCAGGTATAACATGAACACAGTTCAGAATCCCACATATGAGTTCGCATAAGTCCAGGATTCCACACACACAGTCCATGATCCCACAGATGGGTTCAAACAAATCAACATCCCACACAGTGCAAGATTCCATATAGTGCTTCACATAAAAGCACATTCTAGGATTTCACACATGAACACATTCTAGGATTGTGCACCAGATCCATCAAAGAACACAGTCCAGGATCCCAGAGGAGAGTTCCTACATCAACATAGTCCTGGACCCCACAACTGCATTCACATTTGAACATGGTCCAGGAACCTACAATCCAAGACCCCACATAGGCGTTCACATTTGAATAGTGTCCAGGATCCCACACTAGAGTTCACAGTCCAGGATCCCACACTAGAGTTCACAGTCCAGGATCCCACACTAGAGTTCACAGTCCAGGATCCCACACTAGAGTTCTAGTCCAGGATCCCACACTAGAGTTCACAGTCCAGGATCCCACACTAGAGTTCACAGTCCAGGATCTCACACTAGAGTTCACAGTCCAGGATCCCACACTAAAGTTCACAGTCCAGGATCCCACACTAAAGTTCACAGTCCAGGATCCCACACTAGAGTTCACAGTCCAGGATCCCACACAAGAGTTCACAGTCCAGGATCCCACACTAAAGTTCACAGTCCAGGATCCCACATAAGAGTTCACAGTCCAGGATCCCACATAAAAGTTCACAGTCCAGGATCCCAAACAAGAGTTCACAGTCCAGGATCCCAAATAAGAGTTCACAGTCCAGGATCCCACACTAGAGTTCACAGTCCAGGACCCCAAACAAGAGTTCACAGTCCAGGATCCCAAACAAGAGTTCACAGTCCAGGATCCCAAATAAGAGTTCACAGTCCAGGATCCCACACTAGAGTTCACAGTCCAGGACCCAAACAAGAGTTCACAGTCCAGGATCCCAAGCAAGAGTTCACAGTCCAGGATCCCAAGCGTTCACAGTCCAGGATCCCACATAAGAGTTCACAGTCCAGGATCCCAAATAAGAGTTCACAGTCCAGGATCCCACATAAGAGTTCACAGTCCAGGATCCCACATAAGAGTTCACAGTCCAGGATCCCACATAAGAGTTCACAATCCAGGACTGCTGTAATCATTGCCAGCCCGCCAAAGATTGTCAACAACACAGACATAAAACCTGCAGAGGTCACTGATAACCACTCGTACAATTCAAAATGTAAATCTGCATGAGTTTAGTGTTTCCTGACAAGATTCATTGTTTATTGCAAACCATCAGAAGTTCTACTGTCAGCTCCCTATTTTGACTAGTGTCGATTCCATATAAGGATCAGTGTCTTTTCTGTTATCAATCATAGCTTATGACTTCCATTCCCTGTGGGAATTTGTGTCTTTCCTACTATCAGTCACAACTTTTGTCATTTGAATTCCCTTTAAGGACTTGGTTCTAATTATTCTAAAACTGGCTGATTATTCTATATGCATTATTCTTCATTCAACAAGTGTTTATTCTACTCTCTGTAAGAATCTGTGTCTCTTTCTTACCAGCAAGCAATCAAATCCTCTGTTTATTAATAGAATATATCTTTTCCCACAACCTATACACATCAGCTGCTATTTCCAGGTTAAACAGTTCAGATGTATACAACTCTGCAACAGCAAGACAATTCAGGTGTCTCCTTGTCTTTTTCCTTCATGAAACTTATGGTCAACACAGCTTGAAAGCATGTCCCTGCTGGCGGCAGCAGATATCATGAGCACACATCCAGCAGGTACCGCTTCACAACTGCAGGCAGGGGTAAACTGTCTACCTTCTTGGCCAGCTGCCGGTTGAGGGATTTGTAGATGACTACCCTGGAGATTTCCTTCAGGGAACGAGGGTGCTCACTCATGGCCCCGACCAGCATAAGGAAGCTGATGCTACCATCACACAGCCCGGAGACGCAGGATGTTCCGGCACTGCTGGGCTGAAGGTGGATGAAGCTCTTGGTGGAGCTGAGACTTTCGTGGAGGCTGGCATGGTTCATACTGCTGTAGAACATCATGAGGACTCGTTGTACCACTGGGTCATTCTTCAGGTTCTCCTTGTCTTTCACCTGAAGGAAAACACACCGTGACATTGCCTCAGTAAAACTAACAACTACACAGTGGATTTGAATGTTTAAAATATTTGAAACAACATGAGAGAGGTAAACAACTCACTGAAAACAAGAATCACTAAATGTTATGTATGCTCAACACAAGGGCTTTTTAAAAAATGAAATTACACAGCACTACTCAGTACCGGCACCCATTTTATGCATATTTTTTCAGTGCTACTGCAACAGACAGACACTCTGTAGTGAGTACTAACATCTTCTTTTAGACACTGTAGAAAGCAAAAGCAACATTTTCCTAGGAGGAAAAACCCTGCTCAACATTACAATAAGGTGCAGAAAACCAGACACTAAACTAGTAATCAGACAGTCAAAACTAAGTTCTAGAGCTGAACAGATTATACATATTTCATTAAATATAAATGTTAAAAAACAAACATTTAAAAAAAAAATGCTTCTTAAAAAGCTGAAAATGAAAAAATCTCACCTCATGGACACAGACATTTCATGGATATACAATCTCACCTCGTGGACACAAACATTTCATGGATATAAAATCTCACCTCGTGGACACAGACATTTCATAGATATACAATCTCACCTCATGTACACAGACATTTCATGGATATAATAAACATTTCATGGATATACAATCTCACATCAAGGACACAGACATTTCATGGATATACAATCTCACCTCGTGGAAATAATTGACATTTCACAGATATACAATCTCACCTCATGGATATAATAGACATTTCATGGATATACAATCTAACCTTGTGGAATAAATTGACATTTCACAGATATACAATCTCACCTCATGGATATAATAGACATTTAATGGATATACAATCTTACCTCATGGATATAACAGACATTTCATGATATACAATCTCACATCATGGATATAACAGACATTTCATGATATACAATCTCACATCATGGATATAACAGACATTTCATGATATACAATCTCACATCATGGATATAACAGACATTTCATAATATACAATCTCACATCATGGATATAACAGACATTTTATGGATATACAATCTCACCTCATGGATATAAAAGACATTTCATGGATATACAATCTCACCTCATGGACACAGACATTTCATAGATATACAATCTCATCTCAAGGACACAGGTATTTCATGGATATACAATCTCACCTCATGGATATAATTGACATTTTATAGATATACAATCTCACCACATGGACACAGGCATTTCATGGTTATACAATCTCACCTCATGGACACAGACATTTTATAGATATACAATCTCATCTCATGGACACAGATATTTCATGGATATACAATCTCACCTCATGGATATAATAGATATTTCATTAGATATACACTCTCACTGCATGGATATACAAAAATATATTTTAATGTATATTTAATCTCACTTTTTGATACAGATATTTGATGGATATACAATCTCACCTTACGATACAAAGCCATTTCATGGATATACAATCTCACTTAATTATATTTAAATTTTTCATAGAAATATAATCTCACATGCAGATATTTCACAGATATACAGTCTTACTTAAGTGTATAAATATATCCTTTTCATGGATACACAATCTTACAGACAATTCACAGACATACAATCTCACCTCATGTATATAAAGACCAATTGGTTGTGTGCCCAGCTTCTTGAGAAAGATTGAGCTTTGGCAGTGACAGATGATTGGTTCAGATGGATAGGGTTCAAGATCTGGATCAGCTCCCCACTGCAGGAGAGTTCGAATCCACTTTTCGATGAGCTCAAATTCAAATGATGATACTGCTATACCAGCTAGTTTGACAATCTCTGCAGCAAAGAGAAAATAAACAATAAATATTTGTTTTTGTAAGTTTATTAATCAGATACTCTTAGGTGAACCAATAAACAGATAAGTGATACAGAACTAACGTATGGATTTGAGCCGTGGACTATCTTGCATTAAGGAAGAAAATAGGGGCTTTTTAACTTACATTTTACAGAAAGATTCTCAGAATACCAGGAACCAAGGGGAAAAAACAGAAATACTGACATCCAAAAACAGAAATACTGACATCCAAAAACAGAAATTCTGACATCCAAAAACATCTAAACATCATGGAAGTTTGGCTAGTAAACATCATGGAAGTTTGGTTAGTAAACATCATGAAAGTTTGGCCAGTAAACATCATGGAAGTTTGGTTAGTAAACATCATGAAAGTTTGGCTAGTAAACATCATGGAAGTTTGGCTAGTAAACATCATGAAAGTTTGGTTAGTAAACATCATGAAAGTTTGGTTAGTAAACATCATGAAAGTTTGGTTAGTAAACATCATGAAAGTTTGGCTAGTAAACATCATGAAAGTTTGGTTAGTAAACATCATGAAAGTTTGGTTAGTAAACATCATGAAAGTTTGGCTAGTAAACATCATGGAAGTTTGGCTAGTAAACATCATGGAAGTTTGGCTAGTAAACATCATGAAAGTTTGGCTAGTAAACATCATGAAAGTTTGGCTAGTAAACATCATGGAAGTTTGGCTAGTAAACATCATGAAAGTTTGGTTAGTAAACATCATGAAAGTTTGGTTAGTAAACATCATGAAAGTTTGGTTAGTAAACATCATGAAAGTTTGGCTAGTAAACATCATGAAAGTTTGGCTAGTAAACATCATGAAAGTTTGGTTAGTAAACATCATGAAAGTTTGGTTAGTAAACATCATGAAAGTTTGGCTAGTAAACATCATGGAAGTTTGGCTAGTAAACATCATGAAAGTTTGGCTAGTAAACATCATGAAAGTTTGGCTAGTAAACATCATGGAAGTTTGGTTAGTAAACATCATGAAAGTTTGGTTAGTAAACATCATGAAAGTTTGGTTAGTAAACATCATGAAAGTTTGGCTAGTAAACATCATGGAAGTTTGGTTAGTAAACATCATGAAAGTTTGGTTAGTAAACATCATGAAAGTTTGGTTAGTAAACATCATGAAAGTTTGGCTAGTAAACACATCATGGAAGTTTGGTTAGTAAACATCATGAAAGTTTGGTTAGTAAACATCATGGAAGTTTGGTTAGTAAACATCACCGTGTCTTAAAAACTGAAATGTTTTTGCTATTCTGTGTCCTCCAAAATGGAGTCCAGGAACCCACACAGGAAGAGTTTATCTAACACTGCACACATCGTAACCCTACCTATCAGACCATTGCCAGCCCCGCCACTGAAGTGATGTGCCAGTTTGGTGGTGATGTAGTTGGGTTCCAGCCCATGCTGGAGTAGCAGGGCCATGACATCATTGATGATTTCAGCAAACTGTTGCCGCAGAGACTGACAAGGATTGTTGGGGTTGTCATCCTGGTACCTGGCTTGAAAACATCGCTTGCACATTGCTGAAACTGAAACAGCGAAAGAAAAACAATTTCACAAACTTGTCAGAATAACAAGAACAACCTGACATACCAGTCTCTTATCAACAGAAGAAGAGAATGATCAAATCAATCAGAATGCCACCGAAACTGGCACAAGATGATTACCATATTATGGACAGACCAGAGCAAGTCATTAACCTTCGCCTTAGAACAGGGCACAATCGACTTCGCTCCCACATGTACAACAAATTTAAGATTGGCCAATCAGCCATGTGTACTTGTGGACTGGCACCTGAAACAACAGATCACATCCTTCAAGACTGTCCCAGATTCAACGCTTTCAGGCAAAACCTTTGGCCAAAAGAGACACTTGTGGAAGTCAAACTTTACGGGCCGCTTAGTGAATTACAAAAGACAGTGAAATTCATACTAGAGACAGCTTTGCAGATATAGACAATTTATTTCATGCGAACGAAAGAAGAAGAAGATAACAAGAACATTAATAATCCTGGTCTGCAGATGTGCCTCAACTCTTTCTGTCACAAGGATTGCACCATGTGTGATTGGCTATTTATTCTTCTCATGTATTAACCAACCAGTGAATATGTGACCGCAATTTTTTGGGGGACCAGCATATACTAAAGAAATCAGGCAACATTTACACTATCAAAGTGTATAGATATGGTTCCTATGGATATAAACAACTGTGATGTTGTCGTTACTGTCTCTTCTGTCCTGTGATCTAACAGTTCTTTATTATGTTATTTAGTCTTTAGCCTTCTACTCCAGGATGTATAGATATGTACCTTATTGACATGTTTAATCTTTATTCTTTTGCTTTAGGATGAAGAGAACCTTAAAGCCTTGTTTAGTCTTCCCTATTTTACCCTGTAACAATGACATACATTACAGCTTTTTAGTCTTCCCTATTTTAACCTGTAACAATGACATACATTACAGCTTTTTTAAGTCTTCCCTATTTTACCCTGTAACAATGACATACATTACAGCTTTTTTAGTCTTCCCGTTCTGTTGCTTTGCTGGGGGAAAAACTCGCCATATTCAACCAGCATCCCCGAAGGGAAAGCTTTAGGTTATATTTGTGACTAGGTTATGTGCGCCAGATAAAATGACTTAGCATTGCATGCCACCAAAAGCCCCAAAAAAGAACATCTGCAGTAATGATGTGATCAAAGCAGACAGACCTAAATACTGTCCTGACCAGCGATGAAGTTGTCTACCAGCGAGCCAGCTGGGGATCTGGTCACTAATGTGTCTTCTTTATTTTACTCTTTGTTGTAGAGGTACCAAAAAGTTTTTATGTTTAGTCACCAGTTCAGGGCATGCCTGGTTTTGTTTTGTGAAGCAAGGAGAGGGTTGCAAGTGTGGACACAAGTACCCTGAACTTCACAGAAGGTATGGACACAATCTCGCTCCATAGGGCATGATCTCATACTAGGGGACATGGTCTCCCTCTAAGGGACATTCCCTTTTCAGAAGGAAAAAACTGGAGTATGCTGTGACAACAGCAGTGAAAGGAGGTGTGGGGGGAAGAGGCAGAAGGAGACCAAGAGAAAAGATTAACAGTTTGGCATCATGACATGGAGGAACATCTGTATTAAAACTGACAGACAGTACATAAGACAGTACATGATTACCAATGCCACAAATCAGTCTATAAGAAAAAGAAAATGGAGCAGTATCACACTCTATGAGACATGACTGGAAAGATTAATGGAATCAGAGAAAGACCATAAGAGATGACGCTTGACACGATGACGAGGTGGAATAACATCAGTGGAACGGATTCAGAATACCAAGATCTGTAGAGAGACACATGAGAGCTTACACCACTGGCCAAGACAAACAATGCTGATGATGATGGGACATACTCTCACACTATATGATATTTTAACTCTACAGGACAACAGAAACCTTTGCTTCCCTGAGATTCAATTCTAGATTTGTCAGACAAACAAGTAACTCCCAATGTCACCTGAAAGAGCAGCAGCTAACTGATCCTGTCATCCTGGCAAAAGCCGCCAAGTTAGGCCCACAAACAAACATCTTACTTAAACTATAGGCTGTTCCTCTGTCCCCGTCACTGATGTTGGGTTTGGCCCCATTCTGTAGCAGCACCTGCAGGGCCCCAAGTACCTCTCTGTGCTGGCAGCAGACGTTGGCCAGGTCATCGTACACAAGGATCTGCAGCATCAGGATCAAAGGGGTGTGGCCTACCTACACAACAAGTAGCAACCAACCAATGACATGGATCTATATAACAAGACCTAATTTTTTTTAAGAACCTAAAAACAAGAAATCTGAGACCTGTTAATTATGTTAAATGTTGCAAAATTATTCTTTTATATATCTTCTTCTTATAGTCCATGTCGTTTGACTGGTAACCATGTCTATCCACAACTTTCTATCTTGCGTACTTTAAATAAATTGTAACATAGATAATTTTTCATGATGTCAAATGACTCTTTGCCTCTATTTCACTCCAACTTTCCCATTTTTCATGATGTCAAACTATGACTCTTTGCTTCTATTTCAATCCAACTTTCCCAACGTCATGATGTACTCTTCTTCTCATGATTACTAAAGACTGCTTCCTTCTGATGTGGGCAATCAGTTTTCTTTGTGAGTACGTTTCTTCCAAGATATCTTCATTACTCTTCTTATTGTGTTCTCATCATTCTTCAATAAAACCACATCTCTGCCACATCCATATAAGGTGTCACTAATCATCCAACTGTCGATGATTCACTTCCATATAGCAGTACAACATAGCTCTGGAGAATCATCTTTCTCATCTCAACTGACAAAGAAAGTCTGCATAGAATATTCTTCATTTTCTTAAACTATGATAATCAGTTTCAAAACTTACTGAATTCTTATGATAGACAGTATAAGAAAACTGACATTAATTGGGCACTACGAGAACACTTACCCCAGGCAGCACAAGAACACTGACATCAGGCAGCACAAGAACACTGACCCCATACACCAAAAGAAAACTGACATCAAGCAGTTTAAGAACACTGACCCCATACAGCACAAGAACAGTGACATCAGACAGTACAAGAACACTGACATTAGGCAGTACAAGAACACTGACTCCAGACAGCACAAGAACACTGACATCAGGCAGTACAAGAGCACTGACATCATGGCAGGACAAGAACACTGACCCCAGACAGCACAAGAACACTGAAACTAAGCAATCTCTCTTTCTCTCTCACACATGTACACACACACACACACAGACAAATAAGTATTTAATAAGTGGTGACACAACTTACACTACAAGCAAAGTTGACCTCTGACCCAAACTTCAGCAATATTTCCAATGCCCTGGCCAGGTTTCTGTAATCATGGCGGTAATCTTGAATGAAGATGTCCGGTTGGGATGAGCAGACACATTCGCAGGGATCGCAGGAGTGGACAGCTTTGAGACCAATGTGCAGCATGCGACTGAGTGAGGTCAGGCCTGGTCGGTTCAGCAGGTGCGGGTCAGCATTAAACTCAAGCAGTAGCTGGATGGCTGCCAACACCTGGTTGATTATAAATACACCTGCTTGAACATAAAAACACCTGGTTGATACAAGAAAATATAGACAGGAGCAAATAAACATGACAGATTGAGCTAGCCTGATGAGTGAACAGTTAAGAACACTGGCCTCTCATGCAAGAGACCCAGGTTTCAATCCTCTGTGGAGCTACAGATTTTTTCCCTGTCAGGGACAAAAATAAAATCCTAACTTGTATAGTCCATGGCGACTGCACTAGCCATGCAGCCTTAGCTCTCAAGCTCATAGACTTCCCCCACCCCATTTTGCCCATACCTCAAAAGTAGATTCTACACACTATAATGGCAGATGAGTGAACATCAATACAGCTAGCTGAACATAAAAACCAACTAGCTGAATATGAAAATGATACTTAGATGCCAGAAAGAAACATCTCTAACTAGCCTCAGTCTTCTAAAGGTTCCACACCAACTAACTGTTAAGCAAAAACAGCTGTCTGAACTTTGTTACTTCTTATTTTTCTTATAATCCATGCTGTTTGGCATTGATAGTCATGTCTATCTACAACCTTCTGTCTCATGTACTTATAATCATTTCTAACACAGATGATCTTCCATGCCATGATGTCAAACTGTCCTGCATCTTCTCTCTCAGACTCCCTCTTCCCCTCCAACTCCCCCCCCCCCCCCCCCATCATGATATACTCCAGTTCTCACCTTCTCATGACTGAAATATGTAAACTGTCTCCTTGTGATAAGCGCAATCAGTTCTCTTTGTGAGTCAGTTTCTTTCAGGACATTTTTATTACTCTTTTTATCTGTCAAGCATGTTCTCATTATCCATTTATAAAACAACATCTCTGCTGTCTCTATATAATTCTGGGTCACCTGAGCAGAGATTCAATGTCACACAACTATTAAAACTTTTTTATTAGTGGTGTATCCTTCAGAGAACATTGCAGAACCAACAGCTTGCATTTTTTACCTGTCTGATTTTACTGGGCAATTTTACATTCAGTAATATTTCATTGTAACATTCAACTAAAAAAAAAAAAAAAAAAAAACATTGTGCAGAACACTGAAAACACTGAGCTGAATCTAACAAGCACGGTTAAACAGGAAACAGTTAACAGACTGTAATTAATCATGTACGCCATAAGATTTGACTTTAGGGGATTAACATGAGACGGGGTTACAACATCTGATAGCAATCTTCTGTTGCAAAACACAACCTGTCATGAAGACAAGGATTTGGTGGAAGTTGAATAAGGGTCTGTACTCCAGTATGATTTAATGCAAAACAAGAGGACGCTTGTCAAATGGCTGAACAGTTTTCATGGTTAGAATGGGTAGATTTGAAAACTCAAGGCAAGATTTAAAGGTTGGGGATATTACAATCGTCATAATTGACATTATCATGTGTCTTGTAAGATGGTGCGGGCTTTCATGCCTCTCCATACATCCCAGTTTTTGATGTTCTTCGAGTTAAAGTCCACTGATTGTATTCCTCTATGCCAACATCTTAGACTATCCAGTTCAATTTTTCTTCTTCTGTTACAACTTTTCTTTAGTCATCAAATGCCTTTCTTAGTCAGTCAACAGATCATTCTCAATACACATAAAACCATTCAGTCTTTAAGTGCTTACCAGATCCCCTTCACAGTAAATCCTATAGCTGTTAACAGCTGTGACACCATTTCTGTCTTGGTTTGTTCATCTTCTTTAGCTTCCAGCATAGTGCTTTTGTTTGGCCACACACCTTTCAACTTGCTGCTCTTGCAGTCCGATCCTGGTTGCAGATTTAATCCTCACGTGACTCTCATAAATCTCTTACTTTTTGGGACACTCATCATATCAATCTGGCCCAAGGTTTGTTCCCGCCCCACCCAGCTCCCCTCCCCAGTAGCCATAACTGCAAGCCTATCAACTTGCTCATGTCCTTGTACACTTGCATGCCCTGCAAGGCCCCTCTTCTTGTTACACAACACCAAACCACATCTGAACAGTTTTAAACAAAACCAACCTGAGACTGGTAGCCCTCCTGGAGTTTTGCCCGAGAGATCTGCCTCTGAGGATCGACATAATTGCCTCCAGTGTAGGACACATGAGACACCAGCATGTGCAAGGGTGTCTCTCCAAGGTGGGTGTAAGCATTCACCTGTAGAACAGTCAACGCAAACACATCTTGTCTTTAATCAAATGAATGCAGCTATTGTAAAATATACTACACAGTTTGTGAAATGCCAGCATGGTTTCAGAACTAGAGGATGGGAAAATGGGAAAATCCCCACTGCACTTCCAAGTGGTAGTGGGTGGGAAATGCACCATGGTGTACAGCACTAAGTGGCACCACTGCGCTATGTTTCACTTTTAGCTAGAGAACCACACAGCAAACTACTTACTTATGCCAGCAATCTAAAATTGCTCAGGATGTATTTGATTCAGGATGTATTTGATTAAAATGTGAATGTAGAAGGGAAGGAGAAAATACTACATATCTATTAGAAAAAAACTTTTTTATAAGGTTAAAATGAAACACAAATATCTGCAAATAGGAGAGGATAATCGCTGAGAATTAAAAATTACAAGTATTGATGATGATTTAAAAAAAATTAAACAATCATTACTTGATGTGTTTTTTTTTTTAAAGTACAAGTGAGGATGATGGTAAAAAAAAAAAATGAAACAATCATCACTTGATGTCTTTTTTGGTTCTTTCTAAAAAGCGCATGTAATGATATTGGTGAAAATAATTAAACAATCATTACTTGATGTCTTTTTAGTCACCAAGTAACCAAGTGTCATCAATCTGTAGTCACAATTTCTCTGTCTGTCTGTCTGTCTCTCTCTCTCTCTGTCTCTCTCTCTCTCTCTGTCTCTCTCTCTCTGTCTGTCTGTCTCTCTCGCACACAGTCTTGATCAACTGAAGTTAGGTCATAAGAGTCATGAGATGGGGGATTAAACCATGAGAGGCAAATACTTCTTCAACACAACCACAGAAACACCATTCTAAATAAACCAGTTAAATAACAAAGAAGATTAAAATTAACAGCCAGTGATAAATAAAGTTGGACAATTACATCCTCTAATGAACGTAAAACTGTGACAACAGAGATTAAATGCCTCAGAAGAGCTGCAGGAGTTTCAATGAAAGACATACGAAATCATGAAATCAGATGAATGCTAGGAATAAAGCCAGTCTTACAGGTCATCAAAGAACAACAAATGAAGTGGTTTAGACACCTAACAAGAATGCCCTAGTACTTACTATCTACCACAGTGAGAAACACTAAAACATTACAACGGGTATAGAGCGAGTGGAAGACCTTGAAAAAGATGGAGTGATGACATTAAGAACAGCCTTATAGAAATGAACATCAATCTTAATAGTGCTCTTGATAGAGCTCATCAACGAACATTACATCTACTACACATCAATTTCACTCAATGTATGAGAGAGGGTCTGTTCAGTCTACTACCCATCATCACTATGATGATTTGTATTTTCTTCTTCAGCACATCCAGTCCTGTTCTGCCTTTCAGCATCAGTTTTGACGATTTATCGGGTGTAAACCTTGGTATGTGTACTACACAGATGCTGTTTTTTCTAATTTTCCGCCTATCCATCGCTTGCATGGTCGCTCTCTAGTTTGCTTCCATTACATCTATTCATCTGTTGTCTCTTTATGTAGTTGAGTTCTGGTTTAGTACTGAGATCCTCACTTTAGGAAACAAGTTGGTACGGACCCAGTACTTAACCACACCATAAACAACAGATAAATGGTTTGGACATGTGTCAAGACTCCCACCAGAGAGTCTGTAAAAAAAAAAAAAAAATGTGCACAGCAAATAATACACAAAGTATAGTAAAAGAACAAAAGTTACTTGCCTCCTGCTCAAGGCCGGTAGTCAGCAAATATTTGGTTGTGTCATAAATTGTGAACAGCCCATCAATATTCTGTCTGTACAATCGATGTAGGGCTGTTTCCTGGATGCCTTCTGATTTCAGGTGGACATCCGCACCACTGTTCAGTAGGATGGTAGCACACCTGCACAGTAAGGGACACTGGTGATCTAATTAGTGGGGCAAATGAAGGAAAAGTTGAAGAAAGAAAGAGCTAGAGGGTATCAAAAACATAACTACCCATGTAGTTTCCAAGGCCCAACTGTGGGGACAAGAGAACAGATCCACTGCCCCCTGACAGCTTGTTGTAAAAGTCAACCGTGGTGTGTCCTATGAAGTCGGCGTGCATCTAAGAGGCCAGGAACCAGAAATATAAATAAGCCAGATCTGTAAAACGGATGTGCACGCAAAACTCTAGTTATAGAACAAGACTTATTTCATCAGTAGATAAGAATTTGCCGTCAGAGTTTACATTGGGTGAACGCAAAGGAGAAGAACAAATATACAGTATCAGTGTACAGTCAGACTACAGATTAGCAGGATGCTCGACACAAGCTTTTGATGTTACTCAGTTGACTCTTTCAATATGCAATAGTTGTCACAGGTTATGACAAAGCAGATGACCCAATGAAGGAGTGAAGATGGAGTGGCACATGAAGGCATAATATACACAGAACTGATGCAATGATTGAGTGACAAAAATACAAGATGAAATAATAGATGAATGACTGCACTAAAAAGTGACATTAAAATGAAAAGATGACATCCAAACTCATTCGTGTGAAATGTTTCAAGTATTCGATGATATATAACATTTCTCACAATTATGAGATAAGGGGGAGATAAGGTTCATTCAGTCTACTAGCCATCAATTTAACTCAATGTATAAGAGAAGATCTGTTCGGTCTACTAGCTATCAATTTCACTCAATGTATAAGAGAAGATTTGTTCAGTCTACTACCCATCAATCTCACTTAATGTATGAGAGAAGATCTGTTCGGTCTACTAGCTATTAATTTCACTCAATGTATGAGAAAAGATTTGTTCAGTCTACTACCCATCAATTTCACTCAATGTATGAGTAAAGATTTGTTCAGTCTACTACCCATCAATTTCACTCAATGTATGAGAAAAGATTTGTTCAGTCTACTACCCATCAAAATCACTCAATGTATGAGAAAAGATTTGTTCAGTCTACTACCCATCAATTTCACTCAATGTATGAGAAAAGATTTGTTCAGTCTACTACCCATCAATTTCACTCAATGTATGAGAAAAGATTTGTTCAGTCTGACACTACCCACCAATTTCATTCAATGTATGACATCATACCATTTATGCTTTACTAATCCTTTCTCATAGTATACTAATGATATTGCACCAACAGCTTTGGGCAGAGGAGCACATTGGAGATGATACTTGCTTCAACCCTAGAACAGAAAATATAATATTCTTGCTGGGTAGACCAGGCACTTAACCTTGGCTGGCAACTGGTCTAGGATGGAAGCTCTGAAAGGCAGGCAGTGCTCTTCTGATCCAGCAGCTTTTGCAGCATGCTTTGTTCCACATGTATTAGTGTTACCTTTCCTTTGGACTAAATAAGGCAGGATGAGAGAGGGATAATGATGCAAGGGCAACACAAGTGTCTCTACAATACTGTCTAGGCTTTGTACTATGGGTCCTGAAATTGATACTGGAAGACTTTTCTTAACCTGAGGGGGTCTTGCCAGCCACACTCACCCTTCTCCCCTCCCCAATTTACATGCCATCCTATATAGCACAATATAATGACTCTTCCCTGTAAAAGCCAGAAAGGCACCAATTAACTTTACCAATTCTCATTTGTTCTATACTAAGCTTCATTTTTGCTATCCAATGCTTTGCCTATTCACAGGTGCTATAACAATTTGATATGTGATATATCAACATTCCCATGCTATATCTATGTTGATGTGTGCTATACAAAGCTGTTTCTTATCTACATTTTTCTTTGAAATTGCTTTAAATCAGCCCATTTTCCAGAACTTACAACAAAGACTTACTTCTCTCCCCAGGGAACTGCAGCCAGTAGAGGGGTGTCTCCCTGTAAATAACTGTTTATACACTCTGGATAGTTATCCACAAAGTACTGGATACAATCTGATGCCCCCTCTGTGCATGCATACATCAGCAAAACATGGGGGGATAGGCTTTTCTTGCCAGTTCCCTCTTTCTTTAAGATTGTCTGCAGAGATATAAAACAGTTGATATTATTAGTTGATGCATAAATGACAGGCTCATATCATTTGTTGATACAGAAGGTTTCTAATAGTTCATATCATTAGCTGATACATCAGGGATGTCATGTGACAGCTCATATCATTGTTTGGTACAGAAAGGATGTCATCTGACAGCTCATATGATTAGTTGATACAGGATGGATGCCATCTAATAGTTCATATCATTAGTTGATACATCAAAGATGTCATGTAACAGCTCATATCATTAGCTGATACATCAAGGATGTCATCTGACCACTCATATGATTAGCTGATACAGGAGGGATGTCATTTGATGGGCTCATATTAATGGTTGATACAGGAGGGATGTCATCACATGCACTAGTCCAATAGGCAGTATACCAAGCACAATTTTTCACACTTAAAGGGGATGTATACCAAGTAGTTGGATGTATACCGAACTGGACATGTACTGTAGTCTGACTGTGTGTGTGTGTCTGCGCGCCCACATGCCCACATGTGTGTGTATCTAGATTTAGATGTGACAGGTTTATGTTTAAGGTTTAAACAATGATTCAACATCATGGCACAAGAGGCAACCCATAAGTGCTCTGTTCTACTTTTGACTCAAGACTGAGTCCGAAGAATCTCTCTGTAGCACCCGCGAGGATACTCAAATACTTTGGTAGATTTTTTACTGCAAATTTTGCCCTGGCAGTGATGTTAGGCTACTCGTTTTGATTTCCAACTGCCAAGGGATTTTTATGTGCACAACAATACACATGGGCATCCAATCTTACTACCCAGAGACCAGGGGAAATTACTAGAAGTCCACGTGAACAAATGCCAGCCTTCACTGGGGCCTGAACCCGGGACCTCTAGCACTCGAGGCGGGCGCTGGGCTTCAAGACCACGCAGTATCCTTACAGACTGGTGAATAATTGTACAGCAATCATCAGTGTGTGTCATGCTGTATGTGGAATGCCCATGAGGACTTTGTGTGAAAGCCTGCCTGTCTAGTCTACCCTCCTTAGACAAGCAGCTTTACACTCATTCAGAGCAGATATCTAGTCTATCACAAGGTGGATGTCCTACCACTCCATAAACAGACCCTTATAACAGGTGTTGCTGGCAGAACTCACCTGAACACATGGCAAATGATTCTGATGAATGGCACACTGGACTGGAGTCAGCCGCTGTGTCCCACACAAGTACACCGGATGCTGGACAAATCCAAAGTAACGAGCCTCACAGGAAACTGGTACATGCGGCTTTGGATAGCAGATGCCTCGTCTCAAGTTGCCCTGTGAATATTTAACAACAGATTATGATAAATCGTCCACCCATTCTAAGCAATGAAAAAAATTATAATAGTATAACTAGGATGTACTTGCTCTGAAGCCCAAATGGCAAAAGGAATCAAGGGAGACCCAACAGTACATGAGGAGACTAATTTTCAGACAGAAGAATATAATGTATTTAGAACATTATGTACAGAGTTCCAAAATATGGCACTGATGTACTGAGTATAAGGGGGATTCACCAATATGTGTATAGACCAACCGGCAATACACACACGATGTGCTCAAAAGCCAGCCAGCTTTACTTCCCAGCTTATTTCCTGATACCAATTTCTAGACTGGGAGCTCAGGTCATTTATATGAAAATGGTTCATACTGAAGATCTATAGGATAGCAGGCAACTCTCTTGTTACTGAACCACCGAGGCTCTATTCTGACTGCCCGGGCAAGCAATGTTTGTGGCTCACAGACCCTGAAAGGCAACGTATCAGACCTAACCTTTTCATCCCCTGAGTCCTAGATTATACAAGAATACACCCTCCTATACTTCCTGTTTCTTGGTTTCTTGGGAATAAGTCGCAAGAAAAACTGCACAAATTTGGTTTCTCATACAAAATATGAAACACTACTACCCTGAGTAAGAGGAGTAATCAATAAAAATAAATGCAGTATAGAATGGACTGGCTGACATCTCTTGCGGCCTGCGTGACACTTGATCCTGTGACCCAGTAACCACTGTAGCAAATGGAAGAAAATATGAGAGCAAATTTATATAAATAAAGCAATTTTCCCCCAAAAGGAAACACCTTTAAATGCTATTTTAAATACATTTTGTCATCCCTCGCCACACTTAATATTTGTACAGACATATATGCAGTAAATTCTATTTGCTTTACGTCTCGTAAACAAGTCTCTACTGCGAGTCAGGAAAGCAGCCTTTATGGGGAAATGGCACCAAAAAGAATTATTGGTTTTGTGACCTATTGGGGTGAACCATAAACAACACAACAGTGAAGCATACAACATTCTGTCAACTCACAGCCAAATGACAGTACCTGCTATGGAACTACCTTAACAATAAATACAAGTGTATAAATCAGCATCAATCTATAATGGAAGTCCATCGCTCACTACGATCAGAACACTACTTCTACAGACTGACCTTAGCTCCTGAATCCAGCAACAACTGGAGCAGGTTTTCCTGCCCAGTAAAGGCTGCAAGATGAACAGGTGGGCTGCATGTGTATCTGTCTGGATCACATCCACTGGATAAGAGGAACTGAATAACATCTTTCTGTCTGAAATTGAAAATAAAAAAAATAAAAAAAATTTCAATGGGTAATTCAGACCATAGTGTTGAATATGCTCTTGCAGTTAAGTAACAGTAACAAAATTTATTTTTAAAAGCCTCCCTCTTGTCTTTTTACTTCTCAAGATCTCCCTCCTGCCCCGAGTGCTGTGATGTCAATTCTTGGCTCAACTTAACTCCTGACTTTTTACAACTTCTCAAGTTCTCCTTCCTGTCTTTTTACAAGTTCTCACATCTCTCTCCTGTCTCTTTAAAACTTATCTAGGCCTCCCTTTTGTCTCTTTTTACAACTTAAGATCTCCCTTTTCTCTTTTTACAACTTCTCAAGGTCTCCCTCCTGTCTTGTTACAACTTCTCAAGGTCTCCATCCTGTCTTCTTACAACTTCTCAAGGTCTCCATCCTGTCTTATTACAACTTCTCAAGACATCCAATACTGGGTTATTTACACATTTTTAAGCTGGCTATTGTGGAAAAATCCAGCTTGCTTCATTTACTCTCTTTCTGAGTCAAAGGCGGTCATCATACCCGCAAGTCAATCCAGCTACAGATTCAGTGTATACTTTACAAATGCCTCATGATCAAACTATAATGTAGCACCCATGACAGGGCTCATTTTACCTTGCCACCGCCAAAAAGCATATATGCTCAACTAACTCAGCTAACCTCTTCTAGCCATGTTTATGAATGGCTGGATTCTGCTGCTATATTTTCTAAATTATCAGGTAGTGAATCATGGCCACCCTCCTGGGTTGTCCCTTAGGACATGTAGTTTGTGTTACCATTATTTGCATTTCTAATGCTCCACTAACTCAAAGGTGACACAGAACTAAGTTTGCTATTCTGGTGGTTGATTTAATGCAATCTCTTCTTCTTCTTTTTCACATTAACGAGCTGTAAACTCTGACGGAAAGTCCTGGGTATTCGTCCAGCTCCGGACTTAAGTCTTGTTCCAGAACCTGAGTGTTGAGGGCACATCAGTTTTACAGATCTGTCTCATTTGTATGCAGACTGTTGGTTCCTTGCCTCTCAGGCAGATGCACTACGACTTCGAAGGTAGCTTCCAATTAGTCTGCTCTTACAAAACACTTGTGGGTAAGCAGTGGGTTTACTCTTGTCTTCCTACACTAGGGCCCCGAAACCCCCACTGGGATAATGCAATCTAATTTAATACAAATAGGTTAGAAACTGTCTTGGACTACCATGGACCAAGAAGAAGAGAAATACCAAGATCCTACATGATCTGAGCATCAAGGAGAATTGGCTCATAAACAGCATTCTGTCCCAGAAGCTGGGGTATTTTGGCCATTCTAAGCATCACAGTAGCAGAGGGTACAGTTTTTTGGAAAATGAGCCAGGGCAGACCTCCGTGAATGTGGATGGAAAATGAGCCAGGGCAGACCTCCGTGAATGTGGATGGAAAATGAGCCAGGGCAGACCTCCGTGAATGTGGATGGAAAATGAGACAGGGCAGACCTCAGTGAATGTGGATGGAAAATGAGCCAGGGCAGACCTCCGTGAATGTGGATGGAAAATGAGCCAGGGCAGACCTCCGTGAATGTGGATGGAAAATGAGCCAGAGCAGACCTCCGTGAATGTGGATGGAAAATGAGCAAGGGCAGACCTCCGTGAATGTGGATATGCGACACTAAGGGTGCACTGGCTATGAAGGCATATTCAGCTGCAGAACTAACTACAGAGAGAGAGAGACTTTCAGGAGTGCTCTGATGAAAGCACGTTCTAGAAACACTAACTGCTGACTGATGATAAGGTATTACATGGTTGGTATTTGCCTGAAATCTTTCTGGACAGCCAAAACCAAGACCAGCTCTACCCTCAGTCACTTTTTACAACATGCTTGGTTAAGCACACAGTGCCAGTTATCTGCATTTCCTTACGAGGTCAACAACAATTGTGAGCAACACTTTCTTAGTCGCTTCTGACGATATTCTTGGAGCTCACCATGTGTCATGACAGGATGAAAAAATGACCATCTGACAGGAACACTTGACAGGACGATAAATGAATCACTTGACAGGATGAGAAAACGATCACATGACAAGATAAAAAGAGGATCAAATAAAAGGTTGAGAAAACAATTGAAATTACAGGATTTAAAAAAAGTAACGTGAAAGAAGTGACACATGTTAAGAAAAAAGTAACGTGAAAGAAGTGACATATGGTAACAAAAAAGTAACTTAAATAAGTGACATATGTTAAGAAAAAAAGGTGACATGATAGGATGACAGATAGGCAAATAGAGTATTTCTCATCTGCTAAAGAATGCTGAACTGTGACTTTCTGCAGTGAAGTACTAACAAATTTGATAAACATATAGCTCTTAGGACAAAAACAATGACTTACCTGGCTAAAACAGCAAGTTGAAGGATGTCATACCCAGTCACTTTATCAACAATATTCTGCCAATCTTCATCTTTTGGCAGCAACTTCAGCAATTTAAAAGTCTCTGGCAACTTGTCCTAAAAGCGGAGATCATTTATTGGCTGATTCAAACTGTAAAGCTGAAGGCAATGTATTCTGAGATGGAATATAATTCATTCACATGAGTCATCAAACTTTTGCAGCTCACTCCAGGACCTCTTTATATTAGTGGGGTGGAAAGGCATTTAACAGCATCACTTTGGAAGTTATGTGGTATTATGGGGTCCTAGTGGCTGGCCGAATGGTTAGAATGCACAGCCTTCATGCTGGCTTAAATTTTCTGTAACCTGCATGCTATGGGGCCATAAATCCCTAGCTGATGGACCCCCCCACAGACATTGCCTAAAAATAGTAATTAAGTTGAAAAATCTTTTACTAGGCTACTCAGTCACATGATCTGACTTGTTTAGGTAACAATTTTAATTACTCAGACATTGAATGCCGAACATTTCTGAGAATACTGTATAAAATAACATAACATAACCCTTGACCCATCAAGGTCGTGGTGGTGTAACAATGGATGAACTAACACTCAAAAGACCACCATCTTTCTGTTTTCCACTTATTAAACAAATGTGTAATAATTTAGTCCTGTATATTTTTTGATGCTGTTAAGCCAGTTTCTTCTCTGCACCCCTTTCAACCAAAGAAAAACCTTTAAAAAAATCAACACGTGGACAGGACTAAATTATTACACACTTGTTTAATATACAGAAGACAGAGAAAGATGTCAGGTTTATGTACATACTGTACACACTTACCTCAGAGCACTTCAGAAGAGAAATTATGGTTAAAACTGACTGTGTGGTTTCTTCGGAAGGTGGCACCAGGAGATACTCATAGACCAAACTCACTGGCCACACAGAGCGCATGTACTGGTACAGAGTGGAAAAGTAGCCATACACAACTTCAGTCAACTGCATACTTCCTGATGGTAGCAGCTTGGGAAAGTTCCTGTGGTCAGGTTAATTAAGTTGAAAAATCTTTTACTAGGCTACTCAGTCATATGATCTGCTTTAACTAATTCACTAATTATCATGTCTCAAAAATAGAAAAACTTTGACTTTGGAGCAGGATTTTTTTTCTAGAATTAAAGATACTGGTACTTAACACAAAGTGTAGAAAAAAAGATACTGGTACTTACCACAAAGTGTAGTAAAAAAGATACTGGTACTTACCACAAAGTGTCTATTACAGTGGTGCTGAAAAAAAGATGCCTAAAACGGTGCCCATACTGCATACCAGTGTGTACCACCAGAAAAAAGACCTGCTTTGGCAACATAAAAACTTGCACTGACTTAGGGAAAACCAGCAATCAAAGGCATGGTTCTTAGAAGAAGAGGCAGGGGTGGACCATCTTGAAGGTGAACAACATGTACTGAGGATAGAGCTCGGGCATAAATGTATCCCTCTTAATTCTTAACCAAGCACATGAAAAAACATGATGTAGGGCAGTCACTTTCAAGCTGTGGGATGAGCTCTGGGAGGGTGGCAATCAGAAAGTTTCAAGGGGGCATCAAGCAAACTGAGTGCATTTGTATCTGTAATTATCTGTTATACTAATATGGTGCCTGTGCAGAATGTATGGAACTAAATGGTATGATAAAATCACTAATAGAATCACTAACGCTGAGCTTTGGGAGAAAACTAAACAATTCCAGTGGACCAAGAGGTGAAGAAAAGACGCTGCCGTTGGATAGGATACATGCTGAGAAAACCTGAGAACTTTATAATTGGAATGTCTCTGCACTGAGCAGATAGGATACATGCTGAGAAAACCTGAGAACTTTATAACTGGAATGTCTCTGCACTGGAACCTACAGGGGCAAAGAAATACAGGCAGACCAAAAGCACATGGAGAAGGAAGCCAGAAAGTGAAGTTAAAAAGATAGGGGGGGGGGGACATGGGGTGAGCTGCATGCAATAGCGAAAGATAGAACAACTTGGAGTTGGTTGAGGACCTATGCTCCACAGGCAGATAAAAGGCAGAAAAAGAATACAACAGAGATGTTTACAATAGTACTACTACTGCTAGTTTTAACTTGGTTAACTTAGCTATCTATGCTAGCTGAAATACTCTGATAATAAATAACTCATCATCATCAGGTGCCTTGCCGACTGGCGTGGGCGATCATGCCTCTCCATAATCTGCGATCTCCTGCAGCATGTATCAGTTTGTGTGCTGACACAACTCCATGCCATGCAACAAGACTGTAATGAATAACTACCATAATAATATAATCACATTCTGATGAGGAAGAAGCTAAGGTGGGAAGGTTGCTATGGAGAGGAGTAATTACTAACATGGGCTATGAGCAGGGCCTTCTTTCTATATAAAAAAGTGCCAGTACTCACTTAAGACTGTCTTTGTTAAAAAAGACAAAAGCCTGGTTATGATTTCCAAGTCGCTCTATAATCTAGCAGAATATAACACTAACTACTGTCTTCTGGAAAAACTGGAAGGTGCCAGCAAAAGAAAAAAACTTCGTAACTAATGTTTAAAAATATATTAATTAATGCATTGTGATTGTTTCAAACCTGATCTTATAAGAAAAGGCCCTGTAGAAATCAGGTCAGCTGTAAACTAAACTGTAGTGATTGCTTCCCCAGCTCACCACAAACTAGTCACATTGGCTGACAAGTATCAGCCCACTGTACGCGTGTTGCCCCACATAAAAAAGCATTTCGTGTTGTAAAGTACATTGGGAGAGAAACAACAGATTTAGTAGGTCGGCACAGTTGCTGCTCTCTGTGATTACATCATTTCAGAAGTAAGGAAAAGCTCCCAGTTTCAGACAGCAACTGCGCAACGTTGACCTGCACGTATTATTGGCTTAGTTTAGGGCAAGGTCGACGTGTCTCTTCACTTTCAACTGGATTTCAACATAGGACAGTTTATTGCACGCAAGTTTATAACTGTGCCAAGGCCATATTTTGCTAAACTGGGTCTCCACACCACAGACGAGGCATGACATGATCACACATTTAAAAAGACACAAAACGTACATCTTCGTACTTTTTTCTTTTTTGAACGGAACAAACGGACGCTGGATGGGGAAAATAGAAAAATTACAGCCGTTTGTTTCTGTACATACCCGACTGATTCATTGAAAATAGAAGCACGTAGTTATTTAAGTAAATCAATGCGTGGATTGTTGAGGTGTTGTCGAGAAATAATGTATTTGTGGGTTGCAAACAAGAATAGGTCACATCCTTGCGCTGAAAGAAACGAAATGGTAAACAAGCGGTGTTGGTCGTCTGCCAGTCTCACAGCGGAAGTTCATGGTCGCCCACTGCTGGATTCGCCATTATTCTCTAATATAATACATAATACTTAACAGAGTTCTATTTTTCCGTGGTCACTTCACCAGGAAATATAGTGAGTTTTAAATGCGACTAACGTGATGTTAACCATTGCACAAATTGAGTATCGACTGGGCTATTTAAAAAAGAAATTATGTCTATATCCCAGGATCTTATTTAATATATTTTTTAAAAATAAAGTTCGAGCACCGTGGTGATATTCTCGTTGTCTGAACTTTTTTAATAGAGTTCGTGCACCGTGGTGATATTCTCGTTGTCTGAACTTTTTTAATGCATTGTCTAGAAGCGTAAATGTTCATTTTTTAGTCTGTCCGTGTGGGTTCTGGTACCCCATTGTGGGGGAGGGGGGAGACAGGAATAGTCCTACTGCAAGCGTGTTGTAGGAGTCGACTAACTGGGGACTTCCTTCGAAATCGGACTGCATCTGCCCGAGTGGCAAGGAACAACCAACTGCACACAAATAAGCTAAACCAGTAAAACGGACGTACACTAAAATCTCAGGCCCTGGCACAATGCCAAAGTCCAAATGGACGAACAACCAGGACTTTCCGCCGGAGTTTACAGCTTACAAAGAAGAAGAAGATTTATGTAGTCGCAAACAGTTACGCTTGACTAGCCTGGACCTTAAAAGTTGAAAGTACCGTCTTCAAAACAGATGCTGCCTTTAGTGCACATGGACATCCACTGCTGTGTCGTCAGACTGACTCCAATAACACTATCCCAAAGCCACACACATTTCATGTTTCCCTAAACTCCAGCTGTGGAAATCAAACCCTATTCCACTGAATCGTCAAGAGTTATGAAACGCGTTTTCTAGCATGTAGTAATAATAGCAATTTGCACAAACATATCCTGTTCAACTCTGAGAGTTATAAGTCTAGGATATACAGTGTCCATTACTCAGAATACATATATGAAATTGGATATTTATTTTTAAGCTAAGTATGTAATTTATATTATTGTTTTAAATATTGCACTGTTTACACTTGGGTGGGGGGGGGGGGGGGGATTACGATATAAATTGTGTTATGAGTGTTTAGATAGTCTTAACCAAAATTAAGTATGCCCTTTTTGTAATGGTCAACACCTCTTTGGTTTTTATCTTTAGGAGAAACTTCTCCAAAGATAGAATGGACATAACTTTTCTTCTTCGTTTGTCGTCTTACTTATACCATGTTGTAGCAAAGTGTCGTAGCATTCTTTACCCTTCTATTTATGGATCTTAGTTATAGTATAAAGTTACTTGACTTTACCACTAGGTTTCTGGGGTTGTTTATCTGCAACAAGTTTTTTACATCGTCATAGGTAATTGACAGAGATTCATATAGTCAGTTAATGGTTTATTCGAAGTTTAAACTTCTTACACTCCAAAAGTAGTACTCCTTGATATTGTACGTCTGCTATAAATCATAGGTGTCTCCCTGCAACCACATACAGTGTTTCCCAAACTTGTCTTGGCCGAGGCGCCTCTTTTTTTCAATTAAAATTGTTCCACGGCGCCCTAACCTAAGAAAAAGTATGACTATTCGTATCTTGGTTATATTAATTATGAAGTTTTTACAATATTTGGCAGCGCCCCTGTGAAGAAGTCACGGCTCCACTGGGGGCCGCGGCGCACAGTTTGGGAATCACTGGTCTACGCAATTTTTGATTAGAACAGTTACACTCTCTACCAAGTAAGCCACAGAGACGAGCTGAGCCTTATAAAGCACACATACAAAAAAAAAATTATAATTTTCGCAAAGACCTTGAACAAGGCATACTAAAAATACGATGGAGAGATAACGTCCAGACAGACCTGCAAACACTTGGTGTCACCAATTGGGAAGAGAAGGCCAACCAGAGAGATAAATAGAGCCGGTGATATCTGGTTCACTGAAACTCAAGGACTCGGCATGATGAAGGAGGAGGAGAAGAAGAAGAAGAAGAAGAAGAAGAAGAAGAAGAAGAAGAAGAAGAAGAAGAAGAAGAAGAAGAAGAAGAAGAAGAAGAAGAAAAAGAAGAAGAAGAAGAAGCAAAGACCTTGAACAAGCGCGGATTATCTGCTAACCTGTCCCAATGTCCTTGTGGAGTGTATGTTATCTCAGTTGGCCGTGGCTATCTCAAACGACGTCATTGCACGTTGGAAAGTGTGCTTACATTTGTGCTCGTCCTGTCTTCTCTTGATCCTAACATATCTTTTTCGTTTTATTTTGTATAAAAGAAATCGCTTGAGCATATCGCAGCGAGATCTGCGCAGAAACGATTCTCTCGACCTGATACAAAAGAATGTCATCTTCGCGGCCAATGCCTGCGTCGTAAAGCTCTCCTCCCCCTCTGCAAATTCAGAGGTCCCCGTGATTGCAGGACAATATCGGGTCTTCCCAACTGCCCAGAGTAGGTGGTGTATAGCAGTGATTTCCAATTATTAGGAGAGGTGGGATGGGACCCGCTCCTTTTTCACTGAAACCATCCCCCATATCTCTCTCTCTCTCTCTCTCTCTCTCTCTGTGCGTATGTGTGTGCGCGTGCGTGTTTTTTTTTGTGTGAGAGTGTGTTTGCGTGGTGCGAGTATATACAAGGGAGTGTGTGTGTGTGTGTGTGTGTATGTTTGTGTCTT